CTGTACATGCCCGAGTTCATGTAGAAGTTGTTATGTGAAGACCCTCCATGTGGTTAAGTGAAAGGGCCTCTCTGAGCTTCATCTCTAGGCAGTGTTCGTGTCAGAATATTGAGTATAGGGGACAGGGGATTGCATACCCAGGTTATAGAGGGGGAAGTCTAAATCTCAGAAGTAGCCGTTTAATAAATGTCAAGTCAGATGGAATATTTTTCCCAGACACCCAAACTTCCCAGACCAATTAGTTGTCACTTTTGTGAGCATTAACAAAGAGGTGTTGAGTCCTAACATACCTGTGCTCAGATAGTTCCAGGTGAAGTAGCCAGGTGGAAAGCCTGTGTAATGTAGAAGACATTAGTCTAAAATTTCCAGGGCACTAATGCCCACCCTGGGGGCTGAGAAATCAGCAGAATGGGCCTAGAGATATTATTCCTGAAGAGTGTCCAAGCTAAATGAAAGTGTTTTTTTTCTTGGGGCTAGAATCAAAAACTCAGGTTGGCAACTGATTATTAAAGGCTGGTCAGAAACTGTGATTAGTACCATACTATGTTCTTGATTAAATGTTAATGGGAAATAATAATTATTTAACAAATGAGGTTTGTTTCATAGATAAAAATCTTTTGAAACACAGTGGTATGCCTCAGGTGGGACAGCAGGCTGCTCAGATGTGACCCTCCAAGGGCCCCAGTACCTGCTGGGGTCACACAACACAGAGCTCAGGGCCCAAATGGCAATGAGATAGGGGTGTCTCGCTGTGCTAGAGAGGGCGGGCTGGAGCTCTGGGCCCGGCATGACCTCAGCATAAGCCGCAGTTGTGTCTCACAAGCTGGCTGGCCCTATGCAAGTTTTGTTTTGTTTTTAAAAATGTTTGTGGACCTCCATTTTCTCATTTATAAAATGACTATAATCCATACCTCACTGGTTTGTTGTGAGGATTAAATGAGTTCATTCATGTAAAATTCTTAGAACAGTGCTTGATACATAGTGCTCAGTAAATTATTATTGTTGGATCAAAGTAAGGGGTTCTGTCTTAAATGTTGAGACTTAGAAGAGATGGATGTATAAACCAGTGGTCAGTTTATTAATTTATTGTAGAAACACAGCTGACAGGTAACCTGAAAATCTATCTTTGCTGCTCAGCACATCCTCTCAGAATGAGAAAGGCTACATGAGCCAAGTTACAAGCCAAAGAAGCCAAATATGGTGGCATGGACTGGGGGTTAATGGCTGGAGCTCAGGGCCTGGGCTGTCAAGCTCTGTAAGGCATCCAGTGCCACTGAAGGCAAGACCTGCTAAATGGACAAGTTGTCAGATAGAGTCTGCCTCCTCCCAGGCAGGTCTGGGACCCAGTGGTCAGTGCTTGGTCTCTCACACTCTCGCCCACTGCAGGACTCTGGCATTTTTGATACCAATTGCATTTCATGTGTTCTTTCAATCACTTGTGTTCCTTCTTGGCTAACTGTGCCCTCATCAACCTATGGGTCTTAAATGTCCCTCCAACCCAGACACACACATACACCACCAAACTACAAGCTCCTGAATGACTTCTACATCTCAGCCATTGTTTCTTGGTCCTTACTAGCTTTCCTCAAAGGTCACTCTACTTCCAGGATCTGGATGTGCCACAACTATCTTCTGACTGAAGAGTTTATGGTAGAGGAAGAGTAAGAAAGCTTGGTGGTGAGAAGATTCAGAATGACTATACCCAATGTCCCTAGCAGTCAAGAATAACCTGGACTCCTGGACTGACGGAGAGTTGCCAACCTGGGACAAAGTACTGAGTAATAGAAAAGACTGAGTACTGAACAATCTGAAAGCACCAGAGGGGCATGAATGTGTGTCAGAATCTAAAGAAAATGTCCTTGCAGTGGGAGAGGAATCCAAGAAGGGGTCCCTTCTAGGCCCAAGGACACAAAGTAGGAGGCATGGGTACCTGCCATTTCAGCTGAATCACCATGACTAAAGACAGTGGTTGACAGCCACAGGGCATCATAAATAGTATCTCACTAAAAATCAGTAAAACAGGAGGGTGTTATAACAAATACTAATCATCATCATAATGGCTAAATTTATGGAACTACTAGGAACCACCATGAGACTTCTGCTTGTATCAACTTGTTTAACACATCATAACCCTACAATGTAAGGACCATTAATATTCCAATTTTATAGATCAGGAAACTGAGGCACTGAGAGGTTTAATTTCCTAAGGTCACATAGCTATTCAATAATAGAATCTAGACTCAAATGCCATTCTTTCTGTCTCCAGAGCTGGCTCCTTAATTTACAAGTTAAAAACAAATCAGACTCAGTCACTACCCCGACTCCTAGATTCGAAATACTTTCCTAAAAGGACAGAAGGGCACATGACCCTGGGTGTGCCATGCACATGTATGATGTGAGAACATGACCCATTGTATGAGTAGCTGAGGCACAAAGTTGAGAATGTCTGATCTGGATTGATGTGAGAAGGCTGGGAACTCAGATACCTTGGTTTGTGCCCTGTCTGCATGCACAGAGGTATCTGAAGTTAAGCAAGACACTTAACATCTTTCTGCCTCAAACTCCTGTTCTGTAAAACAGGAATGATCCAGCAGGAGTCACTTAACACAAGATTATTGAGAGGACAAGACCTGGAGAACATTTGTGAAAGCATTCTAGTATTAGAAATGTTGTAGCATGGTTTTGTTACTGGGCAGCTGTGTCTGGGGATGTCTCTCCCTGCATACCAGGTGAAACCTCAACCTGGACAGGAGAGGATTCTCGACTGAACAAGAAAGATTTCTTGAGCAGGTCTGAATAGTGTAGGTAAGGAATTCATTAAAGCGAGAGTAACAGGGAATGGCAGCTGCCTTGCAGGCAAAAGAGAACAACGAAGAGCAAAGGGAGGAAAGGGAAGTTCATTGAACTTTGGCATAGGGCAGATCCCTTGCCAACTCCTGAGGTCAGGGTCACCTGGCATCCAGTGTCTGCTTGGCTCTGCACAGCATGGGAACTAAGTCCCTACCACCCCAAGATTTGGAGGAGCCACACACCATTGGATGAAGTGATTATGTTCTGAGAACTTCCCAAAGGCAAAGAAAGGAGATTATCAGGCAGGCTACTAAAGAGTATGATTGTACAGCCACAGTCCTGTCCAGGTCACCCAGGCAATGGGAATTTGCAGGCCCAAATCAGAGCTCCCAGTAGCCCCTCCCCACTTATCTGGAGTAGAACAGAGAAAGAGTGAAGATTTGTGGTTAAGTCTGTAAAATAGAAGGAAATAGCAAAGTGACAAAGGCACTTACCACTGGAAGAGCACAGAGACAAAACAGTACATTGAGCAATGAGAAGGCTTTATTCAAAAAGTACACACTCAAAGAAAAGGGAGTGCAGGCAACCTCAAAGAAGGTGAACTTAAGGGTTTGGGGTTGATTATTATTTTTTTGTATCATTGATATACCATCTTATGATGGCTTCACACAAACAACATTCAACATTCACCCATATTATTAAGTCCTCACCCCCTCTGCTGCATTCACTATCTATCAACGTAGTAAGATGCTAGAGAGTCATTACTTGTCTTCCCTGTGCCTACCTATATAGTGATTGCTAATTATAGTGTCCCTTAATCCCCTTCTCCCTCCCAGCCACTCCCCTTTGGTAACCACTAGTCCCTTCCTGTAGTCTGAGTCTGCTGCTGTTTTGTCTTTCAGTTTTGCTTTGTTGTTATACTCCACAGATGAGTGAAATCATTTGGTACTTGTCTTTCTCCACCTGATTTATTTCACTGAGTATAATATCCATCCATGTTGTTGGAAATGGTAGGATTTCTTCTTTTCATGGGTGAGTATTCCACTGTGTATATGTACCACTCTTCTTCATCCGTTCATCTATTGATGGACACTTAGGTTGCATCCATATCTTGGCTATTGTAAACAGTGCAGCAATAAACATAGGGTCCATATATCTTCTTGAATCAGGGATTTTGTTTATTTTGGGTAAATTCCTAGGAGTGGAATGACTGGGTCAAATGGTATTTGTTTAGTTTTTTGAGGAACCTCCATACTACTTTCCACAATGGTTGAACCAATTTACATTCCCATCAACAGTGTAGGAGGGTTCCCCTTTCTCTGCATCCTCACCAGCATTTGTTGTTTTGTGCCTATTGGATGCTGGCCATCCTAACTGGTGTGAGGTGGTATCTCATTGTCATCATAATTTTGCATTTCCCTGATGCATAGCAATGTGAAACATCTTTTCATGTGCCTGTTGGCTATCCATATTTCTCCATTGGAGGGGATCTGGGATTTTATAAGGTCTTTTGGGTAGAGTCAGCATAAGGCATGATGTATACAGATGACTCATAATTCTTTTGAAGTTTTAAAAATAGGGTTATTTAGGTGACTGTATTGGTCCAGATCTCAGCATTCTTTATTAACATAGGTTCATTTACACTTTGGAGGTCTACCTCCTGTCCTAGTTACAAAGTTACTTAATTGATTAAGGGGCTACAACAAGAGGAAGAGCCTACAGATTACCCTAAAGAATAAGCTGGGCATTTTTTGCAGGCTAAGTAGATTTTACCTTAGTAAAAAACCCTTGCCCCATTTCCCTGCCCTACCTCAGCAGTTTGACAAATGTTTATTCTAACTTGAGGTCTCACAGGTCTCTCTACATACAGTAAACAAATAACTTCTAAACTATCAATTTAACATAAAGAAAACTGAAACCTAGAATTATTGACAGGGCATGACCTATACATATTATTAGAATAGGTTTAAATTGCATGGTGATTTCTGCCTTACCCCATGCAACTCAGCGTGTGTCAGAGTCTCACACTGCGTTCCTGAATGCATGCTTTGATGCCTGGTTCAGCAGATGAGGGATGAGGAGTGGCCCTCACGGGGTGGCATCTTGATGATGGTCTGGGTGTTTGTGTGCACAGGTGTTAGTCTCCAGAGAAGGCTCCAAGCTGCTGCCCCATCACTCCTCCCACAAAATGACACCCTTTGGATCCATAGTGCTTCCGTTTATAAAAAACTTTATTCAGTTTACATAGGACCGTGTCTCACTCCTTCCAACTATACAAAGCAGGCAAAACAAAGTGTTAAGCCCATTTTATGGATAGGGATGGTTTGCTCAAGAAAGGCTGACTGGTCAAGACACCGTCAGTGGTAGCACTGGATTAATCTTGGTGTGTCTCTCCCACTATACCAAGCATTTGCATCATTTTATAACTATTCACTGAGCACCCAGCATGCGCCAGCCATTGTGCCAGTAGTCCTACTCACCAGCTTGCTCTTCTGAGAGAAGCTTGTTCAAAGCCCCTGGCCCCTCAAGGCCCCATGTGATTCACAAGTTTTAAGGGATGAAATTAATAAACTTTGACAATTCAGCACATCACATCAGGAGTCAAGCCGCAGTAGAGTGTGGCAGTTGAGAGCTTCACTCGAGAGGCAGACTGGCCTGAACCTTAGCCCTGCCACCCACTAAGTCAACTTTGATCTCCTTATCTATAAAATGAGGGTAATCACTGTCAGTTCACGGGATTGTGAGGATTGACTTAGTGCAGGTAGGGCACAACAGCATCTATTACATAATACAAACCCAGTAAGTATTAACTGTTATTTCCTTAGCATTGCCTTAAAAGGAAACAAGGGGAGGTTTAAAAACAAAGGTCCCATTAACCTGTATCTTAAGTGTTCCAAAGCTTTCACTCCATTTCTAGGCTCTGACCTTGAAAAACGAGTCCTTCCTTGTTCGGACAAAACTGGAATCCCCTTTCCTGAGTTCACACACCATCCTCTTGGGTTTCACCTCCACCGCCTGGACCCTGCATCCTTAGGGCTGAATTTTGGTCGTGGCCTTGTTGGTCACATGGCCTCTGCTCTCTCCTCTTCCAGTGTCATTCTCTACTTCTCAAATTAGTTTTCCCAAAATATTTCTCTATCAAGCATTCTTACTGAGTGCCTATTATACGCTAGGCACAGAGGTGGATACTGTCATGAGCTACCCAGATCCTCCTTCAGGACTTGCTGTCCTGGCTGCTCAGAGAACCGATGGCAGTCCTCAGCTGTGAGCCCCTTAGGGGAATTGCTTTAGCTGAATAAAAGTTTCTCTCCTAAGGCCACACTTCTGGTAGCAGCTGGCTTCTAAAGATTGATCAACTCAGTAGAATAAAGGCCAGACTCACTGGCTCAATTTAGGGCAATTCTACAGGACTATCCCAGCTCCAGAATGTGAGGTTGATTGAGGCTCTCATGGGGTTCACATTGCTGCTCAACTGGTCCTTCTGCTAAGTTGTGGTACTGATCCCAGGAGCACCCCTTAATAACCACCCAGCATGCTCATCTTTTTAAACTGCTTCCTAGGAACCCAACCTGGGTCAGGCACAGAAAATACAAAGGTGAGCAAGCTATGGCCTTTAAGGATATCAAGGCAAAGTGAGAATGTCAATCGTAATGGCACACAGCTTACAAGGGGGAAGCACAGATGGCAGTGAAAGCCCATTTGGAGTTGGGGGAGGTTGAGGCAAGTCCTCACCCCAGGTTCTGAGACCCCTCTAGAGGCCCTTCAGGGGTTGTGAGTCTACCCTGCTAGCCCGCTGAGACTTCCTGCAGACACCCAGTCTGTGCCCAGGCCGATGCAGGGTAGCCGTGCTCTGACACTGGCAGGGGTTATTTCTATTTGTCGGTGGAACAGTCTCAGGCCTGGGAAGTGGTTCTAGTAGGCTAGTGTGTCCCAAAATGACAAATTAGGCTGGGGCATGGCCAGTGAGGGTAAATGGCACCTTCTCTCCTACTCTGTTAAAATTTATCTGGAAACCAATGAGAACTTAGCAAAATGTCTAATAAATATCAAGATAGTAATACTACATTAGAATAAACAACTCTGTCACTGGCAACTTTGGGTGCCCTCTAGACTGATGTGGGGGGACGCGTGACCCCTCTGCGCCACTTCACACTGGGGCCCAGCCGGGCTGCCGGAGAAGGTATTGGCGGAAATAGGGAGACCAAAATGTCAATGAAGACAGCACTCTGAGGCCTTTTAACTCGGCCAGCTCTCGATTAGCTTTAGGGCCTGACGTCAGCTCCAGCATGTGCAGCTGTGGAAGGACCAGCTTCCTGATGGCTGGGGTTAGGCAGGCTGTCCGCAGTGTGGAAGCAAGGGTGGCTGCTGTGTTGGGCAGTCCCAGTGATCAAGGGTGGCTTCCCACTCTCATGCGTCAGATCCCTCCCCTCTACCCTGTGCTCTCTGAAATGAGCTGGCCCACACTGCATACATTTTCCACCCCTGGACAACCATCTTCTGCCAACTTCCCTCTAATCCCAAATGTCACTACACACACTTACTGCAGGGTTTTTCTCAGCTGCTACAAGTCACTCACCCCACCTTTCTGACGCTCTGCACAGAAGTCTTGTGTTGTCATGTATACAGGTTCTTCATATTTCTTTCATGGAATCAAAATTGGAAGCCAATCTGGAAGCTATCTGGTGCTCCTGCTTAACCAAGAGAGCATTTTTCTAGAGCCTGACAGGACTGAACAGTCCCAGAGACTGGGATCTCACTGTCAGAACACAACCTGAGCTATTAAAAACTTTCCTTTCCTTTGAGTCCAGCCTGATCTACCTCTGGAGTCAGAGAAAATGTACTTCTTTCCCCATATGATAGTCCTTCAAATCAGACTGGTCACACAAGAATCACCTGATGCTTATGCACTAAGTGCTTGTCAGTTACCACCACAACAGTCCTATAAAGAAACCAAATAAGAAGCATTTAAAAAGGTTAAGTGGTTTGTTATAGTTAACCTAGCTAATATTAGTGGCCTCTTCTACTACCAGTAATAAGGCTAGGACTTGATCTTAGACCCAACTCCAGGTCCAGTGCTCTTTGCACATAAAGGCACCTCCAAAGCAGCAGACTCTGTCACAGGACCTTCAGCTGTGTTTCCACTGCCTCTAAGGAGTGGAAGAACTCACACAGGGATTCACAAGCTAGTGAGGGGCAAAAGGGCTGAGTGCCTGGCAAACAGGCAGGCACAAATCCTACAGCAGATGGTTCACCTACAGCTCTGAGGTTGGAGGAGTGGTGGGGCTGTGAGAAGGCTCTTGGGGACTGCGGTGATGCGTGTGGCTGCAGATGTGGCTGGAACACCTCTGGACTTGAGAGGGAGAGAGGCCGAGGAGGTAGGCTGATTAGCAGCCCTCCTGCCAGCTTCATCAGTCCATCAGCGCCTGCTCTGTGGTGAATCACAGAGCCCTCCTGTCTTCACTCTTCTTTACTCTGTAAGAGGTTCTCCCCAGCTGCTTATACCACAGTGCCCTCAGCAGCTGAGCTAAGATTCCCTGGTTGAGCTCTGAGCTACAATTCTCCACAAAGTCAGCACGTTCCTTCTGTTGACTCTGGTTTCTCATTATTGTTGAGAGCAAAGCAGTGCCACTGTTTTAGTGTTCTCTGCCTAACCATTACATACAGCGGTTGAGTCCTTGAGAAACAATACTTGTAAATCGTACTACTGGTTAAATATCTCCACTCACCTCTTAAAAACTGCTTAATTTCAACACAAAGTGCTCTATTTCTTCCCATTAGATCCCATTCTCAATTCCCTACTTCCCAGGGCTCTTCTACATGGTTAGACGAAAAATAAAGAAAAAAACCACCCAAACAAAATGGGAACATGAGTAAATTTCTTGGTTTCTCCTCAGCTCCATCTGAGAGTCAGATCAGAGAAACAGGATGAGCCTGGACAAGAGACCACTAGAGAAAGGAGTTGGCAAACCATGTTTGAGGCCAGGTTACAGAATCAGTTCACTCTCCCAAGCAATGGGGCTGAGAGCATAGAACCCAAGACCCCTGCAGCTGAGGCTGAGCCCAGGCTATAGTGAACAGCACCACTGCCCTTTATTCCACCAGCTCAGCCCACTGCAAGGATGGGCAGATAACCTCCAAGCCCCAGCAACCTCAAAGACATCTCCTACCTGGGACAAGATTGATGCTGCCATGGCCTCCTCCATGTGACTGATGCAGGAGTCACAGGAAAACATTGCATCAGAGGGCCCACAACTCTTAACAGTGGCAAACACTATAGCCCTGCCAGGGAGCAGCAGAGATGAGGCAAAAGAGATGCAGGGGGAGATTTAATTTACACAGCAGCCGCTTGGAGCCCAGTCAAAGCTGGGGCAGTGGGGGTATCTATAACCCCACAGGGCACTCCCCACCCCTTCCCCTTGGAAGACAAGTCCTTACAGGTCCTTAGATGGGGCTCCCTGGGTTGTGCAGAGGATGCTCCTGTCAAAAGGAGATTTTGGGAATAAGGCTGTCCCCAAAGTCAGGGGACGTCCGTGGCCTAGAGATGGTTGCCTATGTGGTGGCCCAGGGCTCTGAGACCAGTCCATGTCCTGGGCACAGTCCTCTCAGCCCGGTGATCCTAGAGGAAGCCCTCCCGGCGGAACTGGTCCTGGAGAAGGGCACGGTACTGGTCAAAGCCCCCCTCGACCCGGGTGACGCCACCTCCTTCGCACACCCACAACTCTCGGCATACCAGCCGGATGAAGCGCTCATCGTGGGACACCAGAATCACACCGCCCTGAAAGACAGCAAACCAGGGGGCATTCAAGGGGACCCTAAGGGCCATGAAGCCTGTGGATGAGTGGGCAGTGTAAAGGCATACTCACCCTGAAACTGTTGAGCGCACGGCCCAGGGCCTCGATCGTCTCCATATCAAGGTGGTTTGTGGGTTCATCCAGAATGTAGAAGTTGGGGCTGGAAGGCAGAACCCAGGAAGGTGGGCAGTTATGGGGGGCAGGAGAAAATGAACTCCTCTGATAATGAAGACAAGAGAATCATTTTTCTACTGGGCAAGAGGAGGTAAGGGAGGGCAAGAGCTCTAGAAAATGAGTCCTCACCAGGGCATGGTCATCTGAGCAAAGGCTACCCGGCTCTTCTGGCCCCCGGACAGGCTGGCAACAGGGCGCATGGCCAGCTCTCCCGAGATGCCATACCGACCCAACTGGTGACGATACTCCTCCTCAGGCCGTCCTGGAATAGGCCCCACCTGGTCACCTGGGTTCTTGGCTCAACTCCCTCCCTTCACCCTCCCACACAGCCCCACTTCCAAAGGCTCATGTCCTTATACATACTGCCTCCATTTTTTTTTACTAATTTCTTCAGTTCCTCAGCAGCCCCCCACCATCAAGGTAGGCCTGGCTGCACGGATCAGCTCTGGCCTTCTTTCCTCAACTCCAATCCCTAACACACCAGGAAACCTGTGCGCCAGCAGTTCCACAGCACTGACATTCAGGTCTAGCTGCTCCACATGGTGCTGGCTGAAATAGCCAATCTTCAGATTCCTACAGCAGAAACGAAGGTGGGAAAGGGGGGTGGAAGGCAATGACCACAACAAAGTGGTGCAGCCGCAGGACGTGAGCAGCTGGGGACTGAAGGGAGTTGCTTTACCTATGAGCATGTCTGATGCCCCGAACAGGTGCCAGGTTGCCCATAAGCAGCTTCAGCATGGTAGACTTCCCAGCCCCATTCTCCCCAACCTGTATGAAGAAACACAAGGATGCTAATGAGTGTACAAGTGTAGGGCACAGAAGGGAAAGGATGAGTTCTGGGGAGTCCCATAAACTCTTTGAACAACTAAAAAATATTTTTAAAGAATTACAGACACAAATGAAGGAACTAGTAAAGATATAAAGGGGATGAATACCTGGTACCTATCAAGTGCAAGGGATTTAATTCTTCCACTAGCCAAGGAGGTAGATGTTATTTCTATTTTGAAAATGAAGAAACTGTTTGATAACCAAGTTAAGAAATGACAGTCGGGATCTGAAGTCTGACCATGAAGTCCATGCTCTCTCTTCTGTGTTTCATGGTTTGAGAAAACTCAGAGCTGAGTTCAGTAAGATAAGTCCTGCTCTAAGTATTGATGAAATACTGTAGGCCAGGCTTTTCATGGTGGCCTGTGATGCTGGAGGATGGAGGCTAGTCTAAGAATAGCAGGTTCCTGGCCCAGGCCCTGAACTCCTGTTCCTGTGGACCTCTTCCCTTTGCAGCCCGAGGATCTGGGTCAATCCACACCACATATTGAGGTGGGAGAGTCCCAGCTCACAGAACAGAGAAACAGCCACCATACCACACAGATGCGAGACTCGAGATCAGCAGAGACGGAGAGACGGCTGAAGATGACATGCCTAGGATCATAGTAGAAATCCACCTCATCTAGTTGTAGAACTGGCGGTGAGAACTTCTCAAACCCATCAGGAAACCTGCAAGAGTTAGGGGTGAGGAGCATGGGAGCAGCCAAAAACAAGAGCTTCCCCACCAGCCCCCAACTGCCCAGCACTCACTTCATCACTATCTCTAATTCCTTGTCCACGGGTTTCAGCTCTGGTCTGAGGAGAGAGGGGAGTGAACTAGATTTATGACTTTAAAAAATAACAATGGTATTTATTCTTATCACACAAGGAATATATACTCAGGGAAAATTCAGAAAAAACTTGGGCTCTTACCACCCAGATACGAGCATTTTCTCCTAGTTCACTATATGCTGGAAAAATAGGACTATACTTTCTGTAGTTTTTTGTTTTCCCAGTTAATATATGTTTCAATGTCACAAAATCCTAAGGCTTATGATTTTAGACTCCCCTACCACTAGCACCTCTAGGAAGGTTGCTTCAAGATTAAACTCTCAAAGCTCAATATCACTAGTTAGCAAGGAAAAGCAAATAAAAACCACAATGAAATATCACTTCACACCCACTAGCATAGCTGAAGTTAAAAAGACAGATAATAAGTGTTAATAAGTGTTGACAGGGATGTGGAGAAATTAGAACCTTCGTTTCTACTGCTTTGGAAAACAGTCTGGCAGTTCCTCACAAAGTTAAACACAGAACTGCCACATAACTCAGCAATTCCACTCCTAGGCATGTATCCAAGAGAACAGAAAATGTATGTCCACATAAAAAATTGTACACAAATATTCACAGCAGCATTATTCATAAAAGCCAAAAAAGGAAACAATCCAAATGTCTGCCAACTGATGAATCAATAAACAAAATGTGGTGTAGCGACACAATGGAATATTACCTGTCTATAAAAAGGAATAAGCTGATACATGCTACAACATGGGTGAACCTCAATAACATTATGCTAAGTAAAAGAAGCCAGACACAAAAGGTCACATTTTAGGATTCCACTTGTGTGGAATGTCCAGAGTAAGCAAATATATAGAGACAGAAAGTAGATTAATGGTTCCCTAGGGCAAGATCAACACTCTAAGAGCAGTATAGAGTACTCTGCTTCCTTGACTTCTAGGTAAGGTGAGACCTAGAATGGAAGGGCAAGGGGGAGCCTGCAAAATGAGGGAAGAAATGAAGAGAACAGGAGTCATGGTCTAGTCAAGGACACTGTACTCACAGCTTCTCCAGCATCTTGAGTTTACTCTGTACTTGAGAGGCTCTATTGGCATTATAGCGAAACCGGTCAATGAAAACCTGCAGGTGGAGGTGTATAAGCAGTGGTTAGGCTCCCTCATCCCAGAAACTCTAATAGCCAGGGGATGGGGCTCCCAGCCCTGTCTGGCCCCACACCTGGATATGCTGGCGGTACTGCTGCTGTGCCTCATATTCACGTTGCTGGTTGAGTAGCCGCTCCTGCTTGCTCTTGATGAAGGTCTCAAAGTCCCCCCGGTAGCCATCTAGCCGCTGGCTGTGCAGGTGGATGATGTCTGTGGCTATGGCATTCAGGAAGTTGCGGTCGTGGGAGACGACCAGGATTGTAGAGGGCCATGTCTGAGGGGTCATAGGATGGCAGGCCTGGTTTGGGAGGGCAGTCAACTCCCAGTCCCCCAGGTGTCTTGGAGGCAGACCTTCCTCAGACCTACTCCAGCATCTCTAAGCACTCACCTGCAGGTAATTTTCCAGCCACAGGATGGCCCTTACATCCAGCATGTTCGTGGGTTCTGGAAAAGTGGGAGAGAACACAATTGGGATTGAAGGGCTGGAGAACCAGGAACTTAGATGCTGCCACCCTTCTCCACCCCAAAGTCAAGGCGCACCATTTCAAACTCACCATCTAACAGCAGAAGATCTGGCCTATGGAGAAAAAGAATGCAAGGCTTGAGATTTTATTCAACAACTGGTTGCCACCTCTCAAGAGAGCTAAGGCCCATCCTCCACAGTATCCATAAAATCCCAGGGGACTCACCTAGCAAACAGGGCCCGGGCCAGGGCCAGTCTCATCCTCCAGCCACCTGAGAACTCCCTAAAGAACAGAGCCACATCAGAGGTGGGTGCTCACCAGGGAAGGCAAGGGCACAGCCAACAGTGTTTGGAGCCAAGAATGGCAAGTGTCACTCACCGGGTGGGCTGCTGCTGCATTTTAGGGGTAAAGCCAAGCCCAGCAAGAATGACTGATGCCCTAGGAGTGAAGGAAATGAATCCACTTGTAAACAGTTGGAACAGGTAACAGAAGGAAAGGTGAAATATGGATGGAAGGGGAATTTTAAATACCTGGCAGGTGCCTTATCAGCCTCAATCTCCTCCAACTTGGCATAGATTTCTGCCAGCTGTGCAGCTTCTGAGCCCTCAGCCCTGAGATTGGAAGGGGAAGAAGAGTAATCAGCCTGAGTGGAGGTGGTCTAGAGGAATATCCTGCACCCTATGCACTTGGAAAGCAGGCTACTGGCTGCCTTGCTGCTGGGACAGGAGAAGAACACAGTGAGGGTAGTGGGCACAGTGGAAGGAACAAGGACTTTACAGCCTACAGTGCCAAGTTCTAAGCTCTGCTGCTTATGATGATAGGCATGCAAATTATGGACTGTGACAGTATGGCCGGCAACCTGGGGAGGACAGCTGCTGCGTTATTCTCCAGCAGGAATCCTCACCTGCCAGCAGCAATTTGGGCGCTGAACTGCTGCTCCTGCCGCAGGAGGTTCTCTCGCACTGTGTCACTCTCCAGCACACTCTGCAAGGCAGGGGTGTCATCTCCAGCAACCTCCTGCTCTACATGCAGCAGGGAAATGTAGGATGGAACCCGCAGGCTCCGGGTGGCCAGCATCTTCAGCAGTGTTGTCTTCCCCAGTCCATTCCGACCCACCAGTCCGTAGCGACGGCCCCAGGCCAGGTTCACATCTGCTCCAGTCAGAAGTACTCTGCAGTGAGAGTAGGAAGACAAAGGGTACTCTAGAGATAGATGCACAGCAAGTTTCACAACAGAAACCTAACATTATCTTCATCCCCATTTCATCTCTTCAAATTCTCCTTTAACTGGAAAAAGAAAAATGTCACTCCTCTCTGCCATTCCCTCACCTATCACCGAAAGACACATCAAAGTTCTCAATTCGCACGTCATATGATTTGTTCTTGCCAGATGATTCCAACCGACTCTCCTTTCTGCTGCCTGCTTGGCTGGCCGATGCTTCTTCCAAGACACTTTTAAAAGGAGAAATGGATGGCTTTAGCACTTCCAACCACCCTTCCATCCCAGTAGAGATGGCTCTCTTTCCAGCCTTTCTTGCTAAACTCACAGAGGATTGCTGGTCTTGAGTGTGTCTTTCTCTGAGCGCTTCTCCTGCTTTGCCTTCAGACGAGCCTCAGCCTTCTCGAGCTTCTTTGCGTTCACTGTCTAAGAGTCCAAACACAACCATTTCACAGACATTTAAAAGAAAGTCTCCCAATAGCTATCATCCTCCCAGTACTTCAGAAGCAAAGCAAAACAAAACCTCCTATATTAAGGATACAGAATATGGGGCAGATGAGCAACTCTTAAAATGTAGGCTCAGAAAGGACTTCCACACATTAAGTTAACTCTCTCAATTTACCCATCTAAGGATACTAAATCAAAGACTCAGGGAAAGATACAATCAGAAATGCCCCAGAATGATACAATATGTACGGTCAATTTCTGCCCCCACCACAGACATAGCTCCCTCCTTTTCCTTCTCTTCCTCTCACCGAGCACTGTTCTCTCTTTAGCAGTCCTGGAAGTTTGGTGCCACATTCTGTAAGCGATAAGAAAAGCAGTCACCTTCTCCCTGAGGGAAGGGAAACTAACATTTTGAGTGATTAATATTTAGCAGATACAGACAGACATTTAAAAGAAAGTTTCCCAATAGCTATCATCCTCCCAGCACTTCAGAAGCACAGCAAAACAAAACCTCCTATATTAAGGATACAGAATATGGGGCAGATAAGCAACTCTTAAAATACCATGCTGTTGGTTAAGTTGCAAACCGTGGGTGTGAAATCATGTCGGTCCAGCTCCAAGGCCCATACACTTCCTACCATATCCAAGAGCTTGGAGAACTCTCCAACCCTACTCCCTTCATAAATGGCCTCTTTTGCCCTCAAGACATCAACTAGCTTTACAACCTTGTCCTATGGAAAAGAGGTACCAGACGAGTGCTCAGCCCCAGGGGACAGGTGGCTTGGGGGATGGTGGCTGAGAAAAGGACAGAGGGTAGCTAATTCAGTCTTCCCTCATTCTCACCGTAGTTTTCTGTTATCTTTGACAACTGGATAGGGGCGTCTAGTAGCACTTGGCTGTTTCCCTGGGTCTGTGGCTCAGCCCTTGAGGGCAGGAATAGAAAACACAAAGTTAGGACTACGGCCTCGACTCTTCTTCCGTCACGTCTTGTCTCCCGACGGTCCGCCCTCACATAGCCACCCCGAATCCCCCGGCCTGGCACGTACAGGCGCAGAGTGTTGTACATGCGCTGGCACACGGCCCTGATGCCCGCGTCATCCTTGCTGTCCCCGGACACTTCTTGCAACAGTTCCCCCACAGCTTCCACTAGATCATCCACTGACTCGAAGTCCGCGCTGCCGCTGTGCAAGACGCCTGGGCCGGGCGTGGCAGAACATGGCAGATAGCGGGAAGGGTGAACATACAAGCAACGTTAGTCCCCACGCGGCACCAGTCCGGGCTCCAGAGCCAACCGGCCCTCGGGCAAGAGGTCACGCAAAGTAGAAACCTAGAAGCGGTCACCGATACTGCTCTCCCTCAGTCTTCCCCCCTGACTTCCACTTCGGCCTCCCCAGCACGTTGATTCGGTTCAGCTCACCCGTCACGTAGTCGAAGACCTGTCCGTCAATTTCGGGGAACTCGCTCCGCAGGATCTCAGCGCAGGTCGCCATGTTCCAGTCAAGCTACCGTCCGCGCAGACTCTGTGAAACCTCAGCCAAGCCCCGCCTCCTGCACGCCCCCCGAAAGATCGTCCTTACTTCAGAAGCGCATGCGTAGTGGTGACGTAAGAAAGGCGCAGAGTACGCGAGACCTGGAAGGCAGGAAGAACGCGGCTGGCGGGCCCCTGCGCAAGCGCCACTCATAGAGTCTACGCCCGAGCCGCTCTCTATACGCTTGCGCAACGCCTTTTCCGCTGAAAAATTAGCCACATGTGCGGTTCTCGCCGCCTTCTGGGAGGTGGAGAAATGGGAAAGAGCAGGGGCGGGGTGCTGGGGAACTCGCGGCTTATCTCGGCGCTAGACACCTAGACACCGATGGCCTGGCGGGTGGGAGCCTCCGGAGAGCAAGGCGATTGATAATACACAATAGCCTTGCTAGATTCTATGCGCTCCCTTGAGACGCGTCTGCAGTTCTCCATTTGGGTCCATTTTGGACTCCGCTGGGAGCTTTGCTGACTCACGCTTGTCCTTGAGCCCTCAGGAGCTCCTGCACAGTTTCAAGCGGCCGCAAGGTTTGTTGCGATCCCGACCCTAAAGACTTCTTGCCTCAGCCTGGTGGGCAGCCCGCCCGCGACCGACACTTAGTCCTTTCACACTTGACAGCTCTGCTGATCTATGCGAATTATGCCCATTCAGTCCTTCCACCACCCCAGGGCACAAGCTCACTCACCACAGGAAGGGCAAGATAACCAGATGGACAACATGGCCAGTGTAAATTCATAGGTATTTATTCCCTACCTACACCCAAAGCAGATTTCTCTGCACCCTGAATCTCAGCCAATGACTTCAAAAGGCTATTTCCTTTCACGGAGTCCCTCAGGTGGGAGTTAGGAATTTCCCCAAAATGATGCGTTCCTTTACATTCAACATGAATATTCTTCCAACCCTCTTTTAAAACTGTCACCTAAAATTATATCATTAACCACTCATCCTTTGTCGTGAGGAATCAATCCCGACATTTAAAATAAACTTCATTAAGGCTCTAGATCTAATAACCACTTTATAGGAAATACAAAGAGAGGAAATCTAGGGGAAACTACAGAACTATCTGACTTCTTCAATAACATTGCAAGAACTGAGGGAGAACTTGTGGTTTATTAGATTTAAGAAGCATTCACCAATGGACCTTGTTTGGATCCAAATTCAAGTTGTAAGAAATTTTACAGGATACTTGATATAAGTGTGAACACAGATTGGATGTGGTATTAAGGAATTGGCCATGAGCTGATAATTGTTGAAGTATGATGAGACATGAAGGTTCATTATATTTGCTACTTCTGCTCATATTTGAAATTTTCTCTAGTTTTTTTTTAGGTTTAAAACAGCTGAAACCAACCAAAGGAAAATTGGTGAGGGCAAATGTGCTCTTTATCTGCTTCAACAGAACAGTAGAATATGGAATAGTTCCCTCAGGGACTAGCTCGGCACATGATTTTTTGGAGAGGGGGAGGTACAGAGGAGAGTAATTTTGCAAGAAGCCTGGGGAGAGTCAAATCTTTCCTTTTACTACCCATCCACCAAGGTTTAAAAAGCCTGAGCAATTGGGAAGAGGACAGAAGAGGTCACTCAGTTTCTCAGGATGTCTGTGAAAGACCAAATGTAAACCTGGCTTAATCTCTGCTAATTAGAAAATAACTGCCTGAAAAGGGTGTGTGTGTGTGTGTGTATGTGTGTGAATTAGGGAAAGACTAATTCCCCTCAGAGAAACGGAGCTGCTTGCCCTTGAGGCTGTTTTCTTCTTAAAGGAGACTGGAAACCTGGGGCTAACACCAGTCAGGATAAAGGCTTGGATGGAACTAGAAGGGCCTAACAATTCAGGCTGACAAGGGAAGAACTTTGAGAGTTCAATATAGAAAATTCCACTCAAAGCAGGCAGTGTAAGAGATGGGAAAAGCAGTCACACCAGCTTCCATCTCCACATAGCTACCACATCAACACTTAGCCAACAACTCCACTCTACAGTTTATTGGGTTTATAACTGGACAAAGTCACATGTGTACAAAATGAAGCTCACACTATCCCAAAGCAGAGTAGGGACTGAGGGCCAGGGATCCGTTACTGGCCTTTGGGGGAGCTCCGAGGTGAGGGGCAGCCAACCCTCCCACTCCAGAGATATGGCCACAGGGGAGAGGAGAGGGTGCCCACCCAGCTTTGGTCACAGAACTCACAGCCTGGCATTGGGCCACAGCAGATGGATGGAGGAACAGGAGCCCTAGAAACCACACATGGAGCCCAGGGACCGCTCCACCAGTCCCACTTTTGATGTGGTTGGTCCAGACCTAGACGCAGGGGCTGGTGTGAAGGGAAGGCAGCAAAGCAGGAGGGAGGAGACACTGATGTGTGGTGGCCGGGGGCACCCAGAACTGGAAGAAGGTGGGTGGGGAGGTGGGCCAGCTACCACTAGGCAGCTAGCAGCGAGTCTCATAAATGCCACTGCGGCCAATGTAGCGCACCCATTTGATGACATCATGGTCGCTGTAGTTCAGCTTCGGTTCAAACACCTTCAAGTAGCGCACTTTGAGGCCAGAGGGCGCAAATGGCACCTGGGCAAGGGACAACTGCAGTTAGGAATGTGGTATTCCTCTCATAGCTGTTCTCCTCTGGGAAGTCCTGCAGTCCTGCCCTACTTCATCTCTAAGTGTTTGAACAATTGGATCCTAGAAACAGCTCGGGGACACAGGGGTAGTGAGGGGTCCTCTAAGAGTTTACTAAACCGGAAAGCATATCCAAGAATAACTAGCAATCACTTGGGTTGAAGACAGCCCATCCTGTGATAACTTAAATCCATTCCTTTTATCAGCAGGATGCAGCAACCAAAGATCTGCCTTAGAACATACTTATGCTGCTGAATATTATGGACTTTAAAATAGGTGGAGAAAATTACATGTCTAATGTGCACAAAGCAAAGGTCAGCCCATTTTTCTGTCCATAAGTAAACCTTGTATCTCATCTGGCATTCAAGCAATCTAAATTTTTCCAAAGAATTGTTTTACGGTAAGCCAAAGGACCCAAAGATTTTTGTCAGTGAACAGCAATTTCTAGTAAGAGGCTTAAAGGGCAAAGAAATGGGTCAATGAATTAGTCACTTCTCCTCCCTAGGCCTCATCTTCCTCAGCTGCAGGTGGTATGGTACAGAGATGGAAGTGAGTGATCTTGAAGGTATTTCCTAGCACACCCTGCTGTTAGGAATGTGCTGTTAGGACCCTCCTCTGCCATACCTCAAAGTTCATGGAAATCGGGGGTCGAGCCCATTTCTTCTTGTCGTTGGTCGGCAGCAGCTCAATCTCTGCACTGATCTGCGATTCCTTCATGCCGGCCATGCGCTTGATCCTGAAAACACAGGGGCATGGGCAAGTCCCCTGATAGTTTGGAGGAGTTTCAAATGGAGGTTTGCCCCTTTGTGGGGTTGGGGAAGAGAACCCAGTAGCTTGTGGGAGGTGCTAGGACAAGGAAATGTGGTGAAGACTCTGATAGCCAGTGTCTGTGGAACTTTGGGTCTGCTATTGCTTTGGTCCCATAGGCTGCTATTTCTGATGCTTAGATGCATGGCCATGCTCTCTACTTCACAGAGCTATTACACGGGCAAATGGGGAAGCGTTAAAGCATCTTGATAAATGCATGTGTCCAAATGCAGGCATGTGCACACTCACACAGAGGTGTTAAGGGGTGACAGCACAGAGGCTTCTGGAAAAGTACACAGGCACCCCCGCCCCTGCAGCACACACACCCTCAGATGACAGAAGTAAAACTTAAAAGGGTACACCAAGGGATCTTGAGCCCTGCTGTGGCCTCATGAAGGACTCACTTCCACACGATGGCGTTCTCGCTGGCCTTGTACTTGGCCTTCCCCTTCATGCAGATCACCTGTACCCCACTTGTGTTCAGTGGGGTTGGGATCCTCACCTAGAAGTGACACACTTGTCAGGAAGCTCTGTCAAGCCCTGACATCAGCTGCCTTTATTCTTGGAGACAAGTGCTTCGTCCTACCCAAGTCCTCTGTCCTCACCTCAATCTTCTGAGCCAATAGGGAGGGCTTGAAGTTGGATTTGATGACCACCTTGACCTCCAGCTTTGTGCGTCCCACTTCCCGCACTAGCGGGATCACTCGGAAAGGAAGGATGATGTCCTTGGTGGTACGATACCTTAAGGGGTAGGAGCAAGGTTAGCACAGCAGAGCCTGTACTTCTCCCTCTGCCCCCCCTCTGCCAGTAGCACCCCCTACCTCCTCACACACCAATGGCAGGTACCTCATGAGCTCAAACTCTCCATCTGGTGGGATGAAGCTGATGCTGCGTTCAGAGTCAAACTTGCTGAGTCGCACACACTGGTGGAAGGTGCAGTCATCGATAGCAATTGATTGCTTCCCGCTGAAAGCAGGGGCAGAAGTCTCCTCATTGGTACAGAAGAAAGGCGGGCTGGGAGACTATCCCATCCCTAAAGGCGGCAGAACCTGGGCAAGGCTTGCACTATGCACTATGAGAAGCTGCCAGAATGCAGCTTTCTGATTTAGGGGATCTCTGTCCCCGAGTTAGGGATGAGTGGGAGCTTTGCTGCTGCTTGTGACCCAGAGGTTTCAGGGGCAGAGGCCATCAATATGGACAGAAGAGCCTTGGTCCTGGGGACCAAACAAAAGGGTTTACTCTCTTAATGAGGGACAATCCCCTCATCTCTCTTAAGCACAGATGCCTAGAGCAACCAACCAAGCCCGGAAAGAGGAAGTTTGCATTACTGCAGAAATGACATCCAAAAGAAACTTGTTATTCACCAGGCCCCATGCAGCCCTCCAAGGTCCACCCTCTCCCATCAGCTCCCCTGCCTCTGGCACCTCTTGCTTGTTTCATCAGCTGTGCCTTTGCCCTGCTTCTCAATGACAATCTTGTCATTCATCCCGAACTTGCACTCAGGCATGCCACTCAGGTAGCTCTTCATCACCACTCGGCCTGACACATGGGCGCTCAACACCTGCCCTGGTAATAGACAAATAAACAGAAATGCCTGAGTCAGGACCAGAATCCTGCCCCGTCCCCCTCGGGCTTCATCATG